AAGCCCTGAGCAAGACAGGGTCCACGTTGCTCGACCGAGCTTCCCAACCAAAGATCTGGTATATTCACCATTTACGCGCTCCTTTATCGCGGTCCTCGACCGTGGCGGAAATACCCAGATAGAGAGAAATGCAGCAACGTTCCTTGTCTGTCATCACATCAGGCAATTTCCCAATTTGTTGAGGATTGCAAAACTCTCACATGATACCGGAGCCGCCACAGCTCTGGCTGGTTCACGCTGGCACCCATGCATTTTGGTCGGCAATGCTAAAGGTCAAGTCCTTGCCACGAATTATCTCCGAAAGGTTCTCCCCTACCGGAAATCGGACCCAAAGAAAGCTGTGGGCGCATACATGCAAAAGCTTTGCGAATATGATTGGCGTCCGCTCACGCCGCAGGAGCGAAGACACAAAGAAGGCTCACCACTCGTCCCCGAAGCCAAAGAGGAAGAATTGCCCGATATTTACCACGGGCATGACACCCGCCCGGGGATATCCCGCTTCCATGAAGGCTTCAAACCGGAGAAAATCGCAGTCGCCTATGTCTTGCCTAAGGTGCAGAAATCGAAGCTGAGAAAGGCCGACACGGGAGGAGCAGGACCCGGAGAGGCTGTCTTCGAAGAAGAGCAAGCGGTCACTGCGCTCGAGTGGAATCCAAATGCGGCCTATGCTGGGATCGTGGCGATAGGATGGGGCAGTGGCATCGTGAGGGTGCAGGATCTTGCATACGATGTCCAATCTCGGTGCCAATCGCCATGAGGCGACGCTGACGAATCTTGCGGAAATAGCGGTCGGGACAGTCCCACATTGAAGGGTCTAGGATGCGCTCATGCACAATGACATGACACGTATCACGACACACATGAAGAGGAATTGATGACGGCCTTCTCAGAACAAACCTTTCCCCCCTGTGGCTGGGTAGTACGGCACAGCACAGCGCAGCACAGCACCGTACCGTATTGTCTGTACACAGAAGCATAACAGGCAAACTCTTGGCTATGAATGATCTGATCTACGAGGTGCTGAAGGACATTCTGAATATTCACTCAGACCCTTTACAATTTGTTGGGAGAGGCGATCAATTGGCATTGCTGGTGCAGACAGCTAGCTATCGATTATGTTAGCTCAATGAATTTGCTCTCTCGTTCCATCTCTACTTTTGGCGTTTTCCATGCCCCTTTTCCTCTGCTCAGCAACAAAATAAAAACATCTGTTTCCCTGTGGGCCCCGATCACATTCCCGAACCACAATATGATGGTGTTTCCAGGAAAACAGTTGCTGCTCTACCGATCAGACCCTAGGTAGTGTACATGACAATACAAGGGAGTCATTCCATGCTTCCTCTCAAATCCCCTCATTTTTGTCCGTATTGGCACAATTTCCACACATTTTTTCGCTTTTGTTTCATGCCTGTGACATCTTCTTTTTTGTATTTCAAACGCTTGATGCAATGCTGGAATCGATTTCGCTGGATGGATAAAGACGATGGACGCCGTTTTACACCCATATCCATACCCGTACCCACACTCGAGATGGAACCACATTCCTGGCCACGAGATTCAAGAAATGCAAAGGTCGGGCAATCCTGCATATGGTCGTCCGTCCCAAGCCTTTATGTTCCTCACAAGTTGAAGCAAGGGGTAGAGCCGACAAGACATCTAGCTCTTGTTCTCGACTCGGAGGCCACCTCCACCACGGCCTGCTCTCGGCCCTCCTTGTCCATCACCTCTCCCTCGGCCACCGCCGCCACGATGACTATCGCCTCGACCTCCGCGACCACGTCCTCTAAACTCGCCGCGTCCACCACGTCCGCCCCGGCCACGACCACGTTCACGTCGCACCTGCTCAAATCCATCATTCTCCGGAGCAGGTTTCTCCTCCGCAGTGGTGGCAGCAGCGGCACCTACTTCCTCAGCCCAGCTGTTCGATCCCCGAATTGCGGCGGGCGTAGCCGCAAGTCCTGTCTCGGTCTCTGTGGGGACGCGCACTTGTACCCATTCTTCGTTTGTAGCACTGGTGTCAGTCACGATGGAGGCCTGCGGGTCCCATGCCTCGGCGACTGCATTGGCAGCTTCTTCTCCGGTAGTGGACTGTTCTGGGACAGAAGGAACTGCATCAGGCTCGGCAGTTTCATTGACGATGTCGTCCGTCAGGATGGCAGCGGTATCGTCAAGCTCGGTAAGAGCAGCATTTGCAACGGTATTGTCAACTCCTACTTCAACTGCGGCATTTGGAGCCTCATCTGCCTCGACCTCCTGTTGAATATCGGGCTCCGTGCTCTGAACTACACCGTGGGCACTCTGCAAGCAAGACTCCTTGATCTGGGCGAAAGTGAAATCGAGAGGCTCACCATGGACGTCTGGGACTTTATCGTCTGTACCATGAATCAGGTTCTGCAAGGTCGAGAGCGAAGACTCGTTTCCTTGGTAGACTAGTAGTAAGGCACCTTCAAAGGCACGACCCTCGTCAGAATCCGCTTCTTCGGATTGACGCTTTGAGGCTGCTGTGTGCAAGAAGTGTGTGATGACTCGTAGCCCATCTTCAACAGCCTTTGTTTTGATGTCCCCGATCTCTTGCAAGGCCTTCTCCTTGACAATCGCAATCTCCGCCTCATGTGCTTCGATTAGCTTGGATTTCTCTTTAGCGGCTTTCTCTTCAAGTTCCTGAGCAAAGGCGCGGAAGTGGGAGAGCTGTTCTTCGAGTTGGGCCACCTGGTTTTGGAGGGCAGGTTTCTTCAGGATCTGGGCTTTCTGATCGGTGTTGAGCTTCTTTTGTGCAACAAGGTCGTCGAGGGAGACATTGGGGTTTTCGCTGATGACGGCATCAGCTTTGGCAGAAGCAGCAATCTTCTTGTGCAGGTTGCGGATATTTCTGATTGAGCATTGTCAGCATTGCTTCATCTCATGATTCAGAGACGAGCTACTTAGTCAGGTCTTTGATGAACTGGCTCTCCCCGTGAGAGTCGACACCATTCGTAGTAGGATGGGTTTCCGTGGTGGGAACAGGTGCTTCGATAGTCGGAGTCACCGCACCGCCGTTAGCAGCCGCAGCGTCGGCTTTGGCTTTGCGTTTCTTTGCTGACTTGGACTCAACGGGAACAGTACTAGTGGTCGACATGTTGGATAGGCGGCGGCTGGGCTGCTTGTTTGGCAATTGAGATCCAGAACTGGGCAAAGGTCTGAATTGGGATAGGGTGTTGTTGCGGGTGGCTTCAGATGGGATGGAGCAAGCTGTGACGCAAGGTGAAGAGTTGGAAGGAAATGAGGTCACGGTAAAAGCTGGAATGGGTGGTTAAGCTGTAGTCAGGACGATGCAGGAGGTTTGGGTGTTGTTGATGCGTTGCTCGCGTGAGGCTCTTGACAGAACGAAGTAAAATAATCCGACCCGCCAAGCAACCTTTCAAACTATTGACCAGTCCGCCTTTCGCAAGGCTCCCAGAAGCTTCTTCTACAAGACAAGGCTCCAGTGTACAAGTACCTACAATACATATTTTCGGACGTCCATGATTTTTTTTTTTTTTTGAGACTGTGACTATGTAGTCGCATAGAGTGACTCATTGCTATCCAAGCCTCGACCACCGCCTCAGACTCGTCCCCACTTGAGGTTATGCAGAACCACAAAAGTAGGGACCAACTTGCAGCCTGATTCTTTCTCTGAAAACGCCGGCTAATATCTCTCTCAGACCAGAGCGCACTCGACAGAGAACTGCGCGGCGTGTCCCTGTAGGTCTTTGTGGCAGACAAGCATGCTGAAGACGTGTAACGGGATTGCTTCGGTCCCTGCGTCAACCCGGATCAATTCAATCGGTTCGGCTCGTCTTATATTCCATTATGTTTCATAACCAGCTTCAGCTTGCGTCGGCCCCAAGCGGCTCTTTTTCTCGCAAGGGAATGCTGGGAGCGGTCGCTGTCATGTGAGCGGAAGGATGACTAGGGTAGTGGCCTATGGCTGCGTTATGTGTTGAGTCTCTTCTGCTATTGCCGTGGACCTTGATGGCTCATCCCTTGAATCGTCTCAAAGTGCTCTACCACAACAATTAGCAAATGTCCAATGCCTCTCGGCCTTCATAATGACGCTTGGACATACGATGGTGACCTTCCTGATGTCCTTCGCGGTAACAGTCTTATTTCTTTCCGAGTGTGCTTTGCGAGTGGCAGTTCGCATGAGCCTGCATCAAGCCCGGTGTCAGTGAGGTGAACGTTTGAGACGGCCCTGTGTCAGACATACTCCTCTATAAATAGGATGTAGTTGAGGAATACTAGTGGATCGACATCGGCGCCAACCTTCTTCCTGGAGTGTGCTCTGAGGATCTTTCGTAGCGTGGGCCGAGAGTAGGTTTTCTTCGTCGACGTCATGGTGGGCGGTCTGTGGATAGGGAGGGTGTTGTTGTTGATTGTGACGGAGGGATGTCTTTCTACTTGTTGCTGTTCGGTGGTCGTCAACAAGCCGCGGGACGGTTTAAAAAACACGCCGAGAGCGCAGGACGCGAAACTAATGGGGAACCTGCTCTCGACCGCCAAGACAAGGCGAGGGCTTGAGGGCTCGAGGGTAAATTGACCACCTCCAAGCCACCACCTCCTGCCAACACCCAGCAAGGCCAGCAAGGCAGATCGCACCGGTGAATGTCCGTTCTAGGAAACCCTCTTGAGAGGCCGGTTCGAAGGCATTGCACGCCATGCATACCCTGGGTGCCGTCCCGTGCACATCAGCGCCATCCCCATCTGCCGACCTCGTCTTGCGAAGAACTCATTTCACGCCTTCGATAATGGCGCAACTCCTCAGCTACATCTGTTGGTCCGTACCTGGTCTGTACTCTCCAATCTTGATACCAGACAGTCGATTGGTCATCATATCGACTAGAGTCCTTCCCAAGGTACATGCTTTGCGCCTTGCCGACCGAGACCCCGCATAGCTTCCAGGTCTGCCGGACAGTAGGCAAAGCCGAGATCAGGTTGTCCATGAACTTTGGACAACTTCCATTCGCAAGGTATCTTTGCCCATCATGGCAGAGACTCCCATCAAAATTATCTTCCAGTTAGGACAAGGCCAGGGCGGACAGGATGGTAGCGTAAGTGCCAAAGAACGACGCTCACATGCTGCTCGCATTGGCCGCCTTGGTTCGACGCAAGCAGCTGGCAGCACTATGAACAAGAACCAACCCTCGAAACATACTGTCCGATATCCGGCTCCGCGAACACAAGCTCTCTATAGACTGAGCGTTCGAAAGCCAAACTACGCAAGCAGTTCCGGTTCTGGCTCCAAATCCAACGCTTCCGATAGTTCCAGTTCATCAGATGAAGAGAGACAGCTCACACCGCCACCGCTGGTGCTCAATGGCAACTCAGATCCATTCGCCATGCTACCAATCATCATCACACCACTTGTGAACCAGTGTTTGACATTCATGCGAGAGGCGCTATACCCCAGTATATACTACAACTCCTTCTTTCGTCGGCTATATGGCAGCTCACATGGGCCGATTAACGTTCTACAAGATAACACCTGGCTACCTGCGCAGACGGCCCGGCAAGACTGGGAGACAGCCGCGGGCAGCCTGACTTCTGAAGGGCAGGCACTGGCCTGTATTGCTAGCTTCCTCGGCAACATGGCCCCCTTAATGCCCGAGGCAGGGCGTCTCAAAATCCGCCGTGAAGCTCTAATCTATACCACCAAGAGCTCGCAGTTATTGCGAAGATCTCTGGACAAATTACCCGATGCTGGCGGTAAAAGTGTTCTCCTCCGAGATCCGAGTCTGATCACCCATGTCTTCTGGCTGTTCCGCGCCGCCGTGTTCTCTGAAAACAAATCCTCAGTCGCCGTGCACGGCAAGGTCCTAGCCCATAGCATCATGCGGGGCTTTGATGAGGGTCTCGTTGACCACTTAATGATTATACAGGCTATCAATGCAGACTGTGATGACGCCACGAAATTTATGCGCCGCACCCACTTCGATCCAGACTGGTACCGGACGATTATTCAGCCAATATGGGCGATGGCTGAATATATCCTACCTCCTATTCCCGAGGCCGCCTATGTTAACATCAACCCTACCATCGAGATACCTGAAGTGCAAGAGATATTTATCAACTCGCTCCGTCAAGCCGCCTACTGCGAGGATGGAATGCAAGTGCCCCACGAAGCATGGGGTCCACTGGAGCAAAGACAGCTTGCATTCGCCTGGTTCGTCACACAGAGCGAATACACCATGTCAAAACTTCTTCAAATCTACTTCGATCTCCGAGACGGTAATTATGTACCATACCAAACTGGAGCTCAGCAGACACCGACACCAGGTCAGCGACTGACGCAGATGGGGCTGGCGTTGGGATTACTTTACTACGTTCGCGTTTTGGGCCACGAGACGAAAATCAATGGCCAAGACATTCGAGACTCCTCGCCTGAAATCATAAGGCATTTGAGATCCACGATGCAGCAGATGTCGGTCATTGCCACCGAAGACGAAAAGCAGCATTACAGGGAGGCGCATGCGTGGGTGTACTTTTTGGGCGCATTTGAAGAGGAACGCAAGGGGATACCTCCAACGTCGACGTGGTTTCAGCGCCGCCTCGCCGAACACGTCAATGTCTCGCGCGAGAAGGGCTGGAATACTTCGTCTAGCTGGATCGAATACCGCCGTATTTTCCGCACGTTCCTTTATACGGACTGGGCTTACCCTAGTGGTTTCGCATGGTTCGATCGTATCGTCACCATGCACGCTACGCCAGTATGAATGCCGTCCGACTATTACAACAGCAGCCTATGCACAGTCAGATCCAAGCTAAAGAAACGTGGAACTCAAAGTTCATTCTATGTTTTAGATTATTGCAGACAACTAGGGGGCTGTTATAATATCATGTCAAACCAAAGAAACAGCCATCACATGAACCTTCGACGACGGGACCACCTCCAGGTCGCAAGAAGTCAGTATATGCTCCTCGAACAGACCCACGACGAGCTTCCAAGGGAACACTTATATGCTGATCTGATCTCAAGGCCAAGAAAAGTAAGGGGGCTTGAGTGCGATTCGTTCTTTGAGAATGTGACCGAACGTCCCCAGTTCTGCCCGAATCAGTTAGTGAGCCAAGTCAAGATAGTTCTCTTGGACAGAGAGCCAGGTCCTGCGGTGATTGGGTCTATTGCCTGTCAATATGGAGATCATGGCTCTGGGACAACAGCGCGGGGATTTGTGCGAGGAGTCGAGTACTGAATAGGGGTAGTCATTGGCACTGGGATAAGGGCTTCGCGCAGCTTTTTCGATTGTTAAAACGGCGAATGTCAAGCTGCTGTTTGGATGAGGCGTCCTCCCTGTGTAAAACAAACAACACGACTGTAGGGTCTCACGCAAACCACCTGGTTAGATGTTTTTTCCCCTGTTGCTACATTCCAATTGATCACTGCTGCTAGGACGAACGCTATTCTACGCTATCAGCTTCAGGTTCATCATCAGATGCAGCGCCGTCTTCGCCCGCTCTCGCACGTCCAGATCAGGATCTGTTTCCATCTTCCTCAGATGTGAAACGAAGCCGACCTTTTGCAACTCAATGGCTCGGTGTCTACATCCAGCTCGATCATTCGCATCGTCCTCGTACGTCAAGTTGATGGCGATCCAGCAGCATGTCGACCGAATCTCTCGGTCTGTGTGGCCACAGAAGGTCAGGATCTGCTTGAGCAGGGCGTGTTGTGAGGCTATCGCATTCCGCCACTTCGGATCGCAAGCAGCAATATGCACCAGGACAAACAACACCTTCACAACGATCGTATTCGGCGGTGGGGTGGTGTAGTTGTCTTTCCGCGTAGGGCCAGCCAGCGTGCGTGGGCGTAGTCGATCGAGTATTATTCGGAAAAAGTCGTCCTGGCCCATTTCATCTATGACATATCTGACCAAGTCGGAAGCATTCTCGCCGCAGAAAAGGTTTCGAAGAAGATCCAGCAGTTGTGCTTGAATCTGGATGTCATCTTCCACGCTGTGCTTGGCATCAAATCCACCGTTGTGATCGACTGACGTTTCAGAACTCCCTCTCGCGTCTTCCTCATTCTCACCATCCGGCTCTGAACCCTCGCCCATGACAATGTCGGGGGGGTTGTCAACTGAAGCGGCAGATCGCCTATATGTTGTGATTTGAGGGTAGTCTCTCTCCACGAGTCCAATCACTTCGCCCTCTGGAATATCGATGGGATCCGTTTTTATCAGTAGCTTGATCCAGCTGCAACCCAACTCGTCCACAACCTCCTGCTTAAGCTTCTTGTTGGCATTGAGCACAAGTTGTTTGAGAGCCCACAGCGATTCATGCCGAAGCCGAGCGCTTGCCGAATGGGCCTGCTCGCACAACTTCTTCACTACCGTAGACTCCCCAACGCTCTCTTTGACCGCACTGAAGTCCATGGCCAAGTTGGTGAGGACCTTCGTGGCCGCAATTCTCAGCTCCGGATTCGTCGAGTTCATCAGTTTCAAGATCGGTTTAGCAACATCCGCCTCGATGAGCTTCGTTCGTAGCGCTCGAACAGACCTTGCTAGTCCTCTTACAGCTGCGCAAGCAGCTAATATCACAGAAGCCGAATTTCCCGCTATCTCGATCTCCTGATTCGAGCCAACTTGAGCCTCGCAAGGTTCCAAAGCCTGAATGATATATGGTAAAACACTCTCATTGCAAATTTGTTCGCGGTAGTCTTCCTCGAATGGAGCAATGGCTGCGAGTGCTTTCAAACAACCTTCTCGATACTGCATTTCCTTCCGGACCGTCCAGGTCGGCCCACCAGGACCAATGCGCATAGCAGGCGTTGTCGTATCCGTTTCCATCTTATCTGGTTTGTGCGGCTGCCAAGGGGATAATTTGCGACTCGCCGGCCCTTCAAAGGTCATTTTCAGACCAATGGACAAACTGACGATGGCCTTGCCCTCCACAGCCACTTTCTGCATCTCGCGATCATCCATTATAAGCGCAGCTAGTATTGCGGGGACGGCCCGCGCGTAATGTGTGCCAGCACAAAGATACGTTCCGCTGGGCGGGTAGGCTGGATCAAATTTTGCTGAGTCTGGGTCCAGCATCCGCGTCAAGAGCGGCACCAATAATGATGCAAAGGACGAACCACGGTCCTTCTTCACGAAATGCAGGCTGTGAAGGTTGACCAGTAATCTCGCCGCCAGAAGACGCCGTCTTCCGCGCGATTCCCGAACGACATATAACAGCCAAGAGATGACGGCGCTCTCCTGAACATCTTCTATAGCATCCTGGTTTAGATTCAGGTTTGGCACTCCGCTCGTTGTTGGGAGAAAAGAAGGACGTCGTTTGGGCATAGCCGTGACCGAGCTAAGTGGAGGAAAACCGGGCTGTGCAGCATTTGCCTTCTCAGACATAGGTACGATTGGAAGGAGCGAATCGAAAGGTCCATGTAGCCGTGAGCGCGGGACTGCAGCACCAGATAAGTAGCTAGCTCCCCATGGCGCGCGGCGGATATCTGAAGGTGAGAAGTCCTCTTTAAGGTCAGGAAGTACAGCCTTAATGGTAGGATCTGTTAAGAAGATCTCCGTCCGTGATTTGGAGCCCTCAACCAACACGCAAAGTGCCTCGAGTACTGGGGAAAGGTGCGCGCAAGATGGCGCTGGTTCGGGAAGGCCGGACGGGATGCTACCATCACCATCGAAGGCTTCAGAGCCAGGAGGGACAAGACCTTCGGCGACTACGAACGAGGCCAACCGACTCGAAAGTATTTTCAAGACGCCTGACTCAGTCAGTGCACGTTTCTGAGCCTCGTGTGTCACCGTTTTGCACAGAAGAGCCAAGATGGAGTCGCAGGCCTGTTGAGACGCCAGTGTCGCATTAGCATTTCCAATTATGAGTCCAAAACACCGTATATATCTCTTTGAGTATAAGAGATCCGCAAGCTTCGCACTTTGTGGCCATTGGCCCGCGGCCGCGGGAGGAAGATTGTCGGCGATGGCATTGAGACACTTGAGGATCGCAAGGCGGGTTCTGAGGGGGAGGTGCAGCAGGAGGAAGGAGACCAGTCTTTGTAGAACATCGGTTTCAAGGAGCGGTTGTACAAACGAGGGACCCTCTGTTATTCAAGGGGATTAGCATCAAAGAAGCCAGGCAAAAGAAAGGGCGTACTGACCGTGGGCGATGACACACAGGATCTGGGCAACCTGGGTTGTCACCAATTCATTCTGTTCGGGTTGGGCGTCAGCTCCGGCCAGCGCAGACTGTTGGGTGCCAACGTCGGCCAGAATCTTTGTGAGCTGGGGGATGAGGCCATGTTGAATGTATTCGATCTTGCGCGAGACATGACCGGTCAGGTCGCACTTGATTCTTTTCAAGGCTTGCAACTGGCCTGAAGATCCGTCTGCAGCAGTGAGATCCTGCAGAGCAGATCTTGCAAGCCTGAGCGAAGCCATGCGAAGGAAAGGAACATGAACAGTGGCACACCAAATCTTCAGACTCGGCGTACTTGTAGTTGACGACACGAGTAACCGTAAGGGTTGTTGACGGGCAGGTGTCGTTGCAGGGTTGGGGGTGCGTGTGGGGGGGTTTGTGGCAGTGTGTGGCAGTGTGTGGCAGAGATGGTCCGAGTCGAACGAGTATCAAAGGAACAGGTATGGGCCGGATGAGGTTCGCAGCAAGCGGAGAAAGGAAAAAGGGCCGGAGAGGTGGTTGGCGGATGGTGTTCCGTATAACTCGGTCCTTGCGAGTGGGCACCGAGCGTGGGAAGCCTGTAACAAGTAATACTCGGTAGGTACTTGGCAGGTAAGGATAAAAAAAAAAAGACGCAGTCTGACGGTGTCGCCTAGCTCCGATAGTGCCCATGGTTATGGCGGCACGAAAAGCGAGCCTTGGTCAGACCGGTCCACTTTTGCATAGGCGAGCTGCACCCATCATTGGCATAGCCCACTAGCCCCGAGCGAACCCCTACCGCCCCCAGTCAATGCCCAGCGAAGCCCCCGAAAAGGTTTGTCGGGCGTGGAAAATCTGGACAAATGCGCTTCTTTGGCGTCGCCTCGTGCCTCGTGCCAGCGCCGATCTTCTGATGCCTCGATGAGTTGATCCCACCCAGACTGCACCCATGCGCCAGATGCACTTTTGCTACATATAATATTAATTCCCGCGCAGGCATCTTGTGTACTTGCTTGCTTTGCTTGTTTGTGTTATTCTGATCCTTCGTTCTTGTCCCTCCAGACCAGACAGCTACCTTGTTGTATACTTAGTGAAGACTCTGCCTACCTTCGCCCCATGCACGCCCCGACCCTTGTTGTCGCCGTCCATCGTCTTTTGCACCCACCTCTCCGGTCGGCATCCTCGCCGTCGACTCACTCTTCACTGACTTCGAGCACCCGGTCCATGCGAGACATCCTACTTCCATGAACGGCTGGCAGCGCCGCACTCCCCTTCCGATGTTGAGGTTCTCTGAATATGCTGGCAACATCCCCATCCCCTAATATCCCACCTACCGCCACCCTCGAGTCGGGTGTTGCCGTATATTCCTCCAGTCGACCGCAGTATGATCACCCGATGATCAAGCCTGTCAACCCTCGAACTACCGCGGTGGAACAGGCCAGTACAACCCGCAAACGTCCCCCGTCTTACGATCTGGACTTCCAAAAGCCCCGCAGGATCCAAAGCACGCGGTCCCTCGACCGCTACAAATACTCGCCCCGGCCTCAACCCCGCGTAAAAATGGTTGATGCCGCAACACAATACTCACCCCCAAACCAACAGAAAGCTGAAAAGACTCCAA